CTCAAGAGTAGAAACATTAGAGGCTAAGAAGAAACCAAACCTGGTGGGCAGACCTCCTGCTCCCCATGTGAGTTCTGGATGCCAAAAGCATACTAATATGGTCTCATCCCCCAGAGCCCTCCACCTACATTCAGAGGTGAGGTTGCCCTTTGAAAATTGAATCTGCTAAGTCCCTTCTGAATTGGAGAAGAGGAAAGAAGTTTAGAATTGATGTTCTATGCTCAAAGGGTTTGGAGGAGGTAACACACCATATCACAAAAGTGGCTATGAACAGTGGGGTTTTGGTTGCTTTGGTGGTTTCTGATCCAGTTAAGGGAACATTGGTTTAAATTGGAAACCAAAGGAGAGAGAACCAAAGGAATCCTTTGGTATATTTGTTCATTAGATACATTTCCTTTGTGACCAATACACATACCGTGTGCATTATTGACTGGTCCCTGGCATAACTATGGAACAGGGGAGAGAATGGGAAAGCCTAGTAGGTCAGGACACTTCAGGTCATGTCTCCCAAGCTGGAATGAAGTAAGGATCCCTTTTGAAGAGAAAATAATTTCTTCTTATGATTTCATGAAAATGCATTTGTATTTATTCTTCATCCCTTTTGTCATTTGACGCCTTAAACCCTGGATCTCTAGTAATCACCACTGTAAACAGCATTCCCTCCTCAAGCACAAGAGTTATTCTCCTAAAAGCAAAACAAAAAACTCTATTAGAAGAAAACCCTGAGTTAGTAACCCCTTAAGGAGAACTCATGTGGAGCACCCTAGTTTGTAAGTGAACAATAAGTAATAAGTATAAAGTTTTAATAAATTTATTCTTTGAGAGTTACCTAAAATGGACTCCAGCCTCCTCATCCACATCCTGGGGAGGTCTGTGCCTTTGCTTAAATGTCTATGGGTTTCCAGAGGCTTCTAGTCTCAGTATCATCCTGGTTCTGAGTTCATGCCTGTGAGCTCAGTCTTGCTATGTTTTGCCTCCTGTATCTGCTCACTGCTTTCACCTTAGCGACAGTTCAGTTGTGGAGTTTTGTTCTTTGGTTTCCATTAAATTGGTGATTTAAGGCCTATGTGTGAGCAGCAGGCTTTGTGGAAGTTTTGGATTCATGAACCCTGCAGAGATGCACAATCTTGAAAATGAGACACTAGGTATCCCTATTGTTAAAAATTCTCTGACCACCAAAAATTTGCTCTTTGACATTTTGCTGTAGTATCTCAGTCTTCTACCATATTTTTGGTGCTTCCTAGCCCACCATTACTGCCCTTTGGGGTTTTCTCACAGTACCTTGTTGCTTGGTTTCTGAGCTCCCTTTTGGCTTAGAAAGGAGAAGAAGCGACTGTGTTGGTTTTAAATGATAATATCTTTACTTTATTGCATTCATATTCACAAAAACAAAATAATAAAAACAACATGCAAGTGGAAGACTGAGACATTTTATACTTCCTAAATTATGAATTATGTGGAACATTCAACTGCCTTCTATCATTTTGGTTCTCTCAGAGTGGGTGAACACAAGCAAGATGGGTGTCATCATTCTCTTTTCCCTGTGGGGTCTCCTACAAATGCTAGGGTCTTTCTAATTTCACACCGAAGTTGATACCCTTTCTAAAACTGGAGGAGCACAGTGACCTGGGGGACTCAGAAGAAAAAGACTGAGAGATCCTTTGTTTAAATTTCTCAGCGAGCTTTGGCAGAAGTCCCTCTGCTCCAATACACTTGAGACCTTTCTGATCATGCATGAGCCTTTTTGAAAAACTAGCCATGCACATGTCAGCGTCTCCCAATCCCCCTGACCCAGCTGAGCTTTCTTCCTTCCTCAGAGCCAGGGCCAAGGTGACTTTCCTTGAGCTTAATCTGCCTCTGCTTTGCTCCACTTTCTTTGACCAATTCCCCACACCTTCTTGTTCTATTTCATCACGGTGACTAGCATTTCTTTATAACTCTTAGACTTACAGTTTTCAAGAAGGTTCTCCATACCCTAGAATTTTACATATGGAGACTCATGATTGAGAAGGTAATTTTATCACAGTATCAGAAACCTAGTTGAGCTGGATTAGGCAAGGAAGAAGAGACAGAAAGAGAGAGGTGAGGGAGGAGAGAGAAATCACTTATATTGTAAAAGCAAAGGAATTTCTTACAGTCCCAAGACAGACAGAAAAGTCAGGCTCCGGTCGGAGGATATGACATCTTCTCATTATTTCTCTCTGGGGCTGCATGGTCTCCTCTGCTTCAGCTCCAGGTCTGCTTCACTCCTGTTTCCCTGCAGCTCAGCCCTTTCTGCCTGTCTGTGCCCTAGGCTAAGGACAGTTTATATGTTCTCTCTCCTAGGAACCATTAGGAAAGGCCCAGCTAACTCAGAGACCTGGTTCAAAATTTCCAGGCTTAGGTCAGGTGTCCAATTAATTAACTGCTCCTGATCCAATTAACTGTGGCCAAGGGCATAGGTCATGTGTTACCCAACAACTGCTCCCAGCAACTCATCCTTATGAAACTGGAAGACACGGGCTGGACAGATAAACCCATATGCACAAGTGGGAGGAATCTCTCCTCTTCCTCTCTCAGAAAGTATATTTGAAGTTTATGTACAGTTTCAGAGAAAAGAATTTGCCCATGAAACTAGTACTGGGAGCCTCCAAGTTCCCTCTCAAAGGCTTTCTTGCCAGGTGTAGTGGTGCTTAACATGCTTGTAATCCTAGCTCCTCAGGAGGCTGAGGCAAGAGGATGGCAAATTCAAGGCCAGCCTGGGACAACCTAGTGAGACCCAGTCTCAAAGTAAAACATAAAAAGGGCTGGAATGTAGGTCAGTGGTAAAGTGCCCCTGGGTCCAATCCTCAGTCCTAGGGCATGGGTAGAGGCCTGCTTAATACAATGGGCAAGAATGACTTTAGTACTCTCAGGTTTTGTCTCCCACTCCCCAATACTCAGTGGCCTCAAGCCACTCAAAGCAACTCCTGCTACCCCCCTGCTCAACCCCCAGCTCCATTTTCTTGTTCTTGGCTCCTTTCTTGCTGCAGCTAATCCCAGCTGATGTGCTCATGAGTGTTAATCAGTCAAATTCACTCACCCAGCAAATATTTATTGAGTGTCCTTGCTGTGTGAGCCCCGTGTCAGGGGCCAGCAGCGTGATGTGAACAAGACAAACCTTGACCTCTAGAGCTGACTATCTAGCATTTAATGTGGAGCCTAAGAGAGATGAATCTCTGAAATTGTGATGCTGACTTCCTGGAGGTCAAAAATACCTCCTGAGTCTTTACTAGGAGTTGAAGTCTCCACTCTGTTTCCTGACACTCATCTCCACTGAGCTTGTGTTTCTCCCAGTAACTCCTTGTTGAATTCATTCCTCCATTTGTGCCCATGCTATGTGACTCTTATAGTTGGCTAGGTGGCATTTCTCATTATGCAGATGAACTTGTAAGTTACTGTATGCATGTGGGATCTGCAGTACATTAGAGAAACCCTGATGAGGTAGGCCAGCTTGTGGTAAGCTAAACTTTCTGTGGGCAGGAGGGAGGGGCATCAAGGCAGGGGAAGGACAGGGGTGTTTGGAAACTGGAAAAGACTGAGCCCTTGGAATGCTCAGAGAGGTCAGGCTGGTGACTGGTAATAAGGGAGGAAGGGTCACACCTCCTGGATACAGCAATAATAGCAACATCACGTATTGAGTGTTGTATTCCAAGCACTATGCTAGCTACATTATATATATAATCTCCTTTACTCTCCAACAATCCAGATAGTAGGCATAATTATTCCCATTTTATGAATGGGAAAACTAAGTCTCGGAGAGTTGAGTGCCTTACCAAGATCCTACCACTAGTAATTAGTGTAAAGTGTTGAACCCAGGTCTTGGCTGACGTTAACAGAGAGGATCATTCTGGCATCCTTGGTAATCTCTTTTTCAGGTTTTGAGGCCACCTGATTTGGTGTGACCTGCAGTGGCTGCTCTGCAGCACTTAGGAGGGACTGGGCTAACCTCAGCCCCAGTGCAGTGCAAGCTGTGGGGCCGAGGACCCTCAGGGGAGCCCAGCCACTCAGTTTCCACAGGGCAGAAACTCCTGGGAGGCTTGCTACAGAGGTCTATGTGATGGAGGCTTTGCTTGGATCCCATCATTCAACACATGGCCCTCACTCTCTGCCTCTGTTTTTTCACCTTTATAATGGGCATGTCAGATTTTCAAGACTTGGGTATGAACATGTAGTCAATAGTACCAGTCAATGGGGCAATGTGGAGTGGAAGATGTCAGAAAGTGTGGGCTCCCTCTCCCCCAGACCCTGCACTGAAGCCTGAGGGGCCTTCTGTGGTGTAAAGTGAGTGTCAGTTTTCTAATCTGTGAAATGAAGTGTTTGGACACAGCATCCTTCAGCTCCCTCTCAGCTCTAAGACTTAGTGAAATTCAATGTTTGTAGCTTTTTGGAGCTGCCACCACTCAGTGACCTCTAATCAACCTTGGCTTATTCTAAGTACTCAGTAAGCACTTGCTGAACTAAACCCAGGAGATTAGGAGTTTCTCAGAGGAGCAAAATAATTCCCCAGTGAGGTTCACCACACACCCTGAAGTGACCCGTTCCCACCAACCATGGGCTCTCAGAAAACACCCACATAATAAGAACTTTTGTCTCACATGGTCAAACAGGAAGAAGACCCAGAGTTTGCATTTAAAGTTGGGAAAGGAGAGAAAGCAGTTATATGAAATGCTATTGAAGAAACATTGCTTGCTGTGAAAGGTTGAGCCCCCACAGCAAACACCTTCTTCCAGCACCCTACCTCCACCCCAAGGTCCTGCCACGCCACTCTCCAGACAACTTACCCTAGGCAGGGGCTCTTAAGGAGGCCCCAGGAGTCTCAAGGCAAATCCTACCAGGGCCTTTATAAAGGAGTCTGAGGAGAGGGGCCTGGGCTGTCCTGGAGCTTCCAGGAAAGGAGAAAGGGCACGCTGGGAGAGGGAGGGGCAGCTCTGCCAGTTCTCTCGCAGGTCCTTAGCCGCTGCTGCCCAACCCTGCTACTGTAGGGAACAGGTTCTTGCTAGTTTCCACTGCAGCCACTCAGCCCTTTTTTCCAGTGCACCTGAGATCTCCCTCTCTCTTCTTCTCTTCTCTCTCTCACATACTGTATCTTTAATTCACTTTCAATGTAGTGTTTCTCACATAATTTCTCATAATCTCTTTCACATTTACCACATCTCTGTTCTCTCTACATATAGCCCTCTCTCTCCGTCACTCCAGTCTTCTTTCACACATTCTTTCTCCTCCTTTGCTGTGTCCTCCTCCTCCTTCTCCTCCTCCTCCTCCTCCTCCTCCTCTTCCTTCTCCACCTCCCACTACATCTCTCCAGCTGCTTAACTGGAAACAAAAGTGAGTTTGTTGTGTGAAGAAAGAACTTGTGGAGGCAGTGGCCAGGGTGACAGCAGGAAAAACAGGCTGGGGTCAGAGGCAGCACCGACAGCCGGAGACTCCAGCACTCGGCTATTCCAGGGAGCAGGTAATGCCCCATTCAGGGTTGGTTCAGGCCTCCTGCCCTCTGCCCCACCTCATCTCTCCATGGTCATTCCATTTATTTGCTTTCTTCATGGCTTTGAAGGGGGAAGGGGACTCCAGAGTTATGGAGTAGTAGGCACAGAGTCTCAAGGGGTGGCTTGCCCTCCTCTTCAGAGAACCATGTGTGCTCTGGTGTGGCTGGGATCAGCAAGAGCTGGGGTCAGGACTGCTGGTATCCAGGGTTGCTGGGATCCAGAATGGCTTGGTAAGGGACACACCAGAACCTAGAAAGACAGACAGGTCAGGGCCAGATCACAAGAAATGTTTTGAGTCTTATCTCGAAACTTAGGCTTTAGGCAGTGGAGAGCTGGTGAAAGTTTTTCCGCTGGATGGTAACATAATCAAATCTACATTTTAAGAGTAATTATTGAGGGCTGGGGATGTGGCTCAGTGATAGAGTGTTAATGTGAGGCTCTGGATTCCAACCCCAGCATTGCCAAAAGAAGAGTAATTATTAAACTCTGATCCCATGGAGAATTGGTGTGTGGTCCCTAGAAGCAAACAGTCATAGTCTTCTCCCAAATTTGAAGAAAAAATAGTTTTCTCAGTTGTTGGTTTTCTTCTATAAAATTTCCTTAAATCTTGTGACTGCAAGCAAGTGTCAGCAATCAATAAGCCAATGAAAAGGAAATAAATTAAAAACAATAATAGAAACTTTTAGAAATAAAATCAACATAAATAAATGAGGTACTTTGATCTACATACAGATAAGTAATATTTTCTGCTAGTAAACTTATTTTAAACTCATGCATGATATTCTAAGGTACTACCCAAAGAGCACTGTGACTCCCAGGAATCTACTACATGAACACATTTGAAATGTGTTAAAAACAAACTCTGTTGCTACTTGGGCCATGGTGACACCTTGCAACCAGAGACAGTGGGACAGAGGGTGGCTACTGCAATGATAGGAGCAGGAGATGATGGAAGGCAGAGAGAGTCAGATTAGTCAAGAGGAAGGATTCCTTTTGTTCAAAGATGGATGGCAGTAGGAGTGAGGACACAGAAGGACTAAAGAGAAGACTCTTGATGGATTTCATGCCTGATAGCCTTTATTTTCTTGGTGAAGTGGGGTAGAAGATGAATCAAGAAGCTTAAAGAGAGGAGCAAGGGTTAGGAATGGCATCGAGGGTAAGAAGGGTACAGGGAGGGGAGCTGATGGAGATGAGTGAAAGGTGGCTGCACTTGAGACCTGCTGAGGGTAGACCTCTCCATTTGCACTGTTGAGTGGTTTCTACAGCAGGGCTCATGTACCTGAGGTCTGGGGTTGGCAGTGAGGGGGGGTAAGCACCTGTGAAAGTGGCTCACTTTCATCTTTTTCATCTTAAGCCCTGTGTCAGGTATTTTATTCTCCTTAAATGATTTCCTTCTCCCCACAACCCTGTTCACTTAGACTGAATTTACCCATGAATAAGTGTCAACTCTGAGATTCATGCCCAGGTCTGCATAGATTAGAAGTCCATTGTGCACTTTGCCTCCCCCTGGAAACCTCAGACACCTTTGCAGAGAAGAACAGGTCAATGAATTCTTGTTTGAGCCTTGACTGGCTGGTTTTATCAGCAAGTCAAGAGGGAATCAAGTGAAAGATGTGATGAGAGAATAGTTGAAATTACTGACCATGGGGGGCCTGCTGAGAAACGAGTGAGGGCAGAATGTAATGATAGACTGAGGGTACGAGAGACTGGAAGGAAGGAGAGGATGATGAGGTTGGGAGGCAGTTGATGAGAGATTGGATCAGGACAGGTCAATGGGGTTAAGGAGGAGTGGATGTATCTTGAAAATTCTAATGTGGAAGTGGAGATAAGGGAAAGACAGGTGAGGTGATGAGAACCCTAGGGTATCTAGCCTGTGCATTGGAGGGGACAGAGATGCCTTTAGCCAAGGCATTGCTCACCACTTCCACATCATGCTATTCTTCTCTCCCACTTGCTCACCGTGTTCCAGCCACACAGACTGGCACATTCCTATCTCAGGGTGTCTGGAACATCCAGAATGCTCTTCTTCCAGATGTGTGTAAGTGGCTCACTTTCATCTTTTAAATCATAATTCAAATGCCTTTCATGACCTTTCTATCTCCTTTAGCTTCCCTGGTCATGTTTTGTTTTTCAGAACACGCATTAATAACTGAAAAGGTCATTTATGGGTTTGTTTACTTATTTATTATCTGTTTCTGCCACTAGAACAGAAGCATAAGACTGCAAGGACACTTGGGTCTTTTCACAGCACTATAGTCCAATACCTAGAACAATGCCTAGCACATAATAGGCTTCCTAAATATAGGAAGGAAGGAAGGAAGGAAGGAAGGAAGGAAGGAAGGAAGGAAGGAAGGAAGGAAGGAAGGAAGGAAGAAATGAATGTATGTTTGGGAAGGGTGCATGTTCAATTTAGGGTCACTGAGCTTTGAGGAGACACTCAAATGGCAATTTCCAGTGATCCATTGGGGATCAGGCTGGGCACTCAAGAAACACGCCCACCTTGCCAATGAAGAAATTGGCCCACGTGGCACACTGGTGCAAACATGTTCTTTTGCATAGCTAACTATCTCTTAATGATCACCTTCCAGGAGGTAGTCAGCTCCTGAAAGAGTTAGTCAAACCAGTCAGTTTTGGAAAAAGGACCCTCCTGGGTTTGTTATGATCAAGTTGGGTTAGAGCATATTTCACTTTTCTATTCTGTTCTTGGTTCTTGCTGCTGTCCTGACTTTGGCTATTTTCCATCCTTCTCCACTGTTCAACCACCAGACTCTTGAGTCTAAATACAGATCAAATCCTTATCTCACCCACATCCAACCAAAGTAATGTGAATTCAGCTTCATCCAGAAGCTAGACTTAGTTTTACTAAATCAGGACATACTTTTCTTTTTCCTTTGACTCCTGCCCCATTTCTTTTTTTATCATTTTTTTAGTTGTAGATGAATATACAATATCTTTATTTTATTTGTTCGTTTTTATGTGGTGCTGAGGATCGAACCTAGTGCCTCACACATGCTAGGCAAGTGTCATACGGCTGAGCCTCAACCCAGCCCTCTTGCCCCATTTCTGTTGGTCTTGTAGCCCTCCTGCCTTCCACAGGGCACTCAGCACACCCTCCCACCCTTCCTTTTCAGGGTCTCCAGCTGCTGAGCAGCTCCAGGACATCCTGGGGGAGGAAGATGAGGCTCCCAACCCCACTCTCTTCACAGAGATGGACACTCTGCAACATGACGGGGACCAGATGGAGTGGAAGGAGTCAGCCAGGTGAGGTGGAGCCCCAGGAGGGAAATAGAGGGTGGCTTCCTGGTGCAGTATTCCCCAGGGACTCAGTTGGGCTGACCCTCCCAGTGGGAGTGACACCTTGCATCTTAAGTCTGCCAGGGAACTTTCTGGACCACACATACTCTCTTGCCTTTCATCCTTTGGGTCCACAATTGTATTGGATATTAAAGAGCAAACAGAAACTTGTTTTTATCCTTAAAGAAATAAAAAGCAGGAAGATAGGACAGTCACCCATGAGACCTTGAAAGAATAATAAAAGAATATATATTCTTTAATGGTAATATCAAATGGCTGAAAGTATATGCTGCAGAAGGGAAACTCCCAAGCAGCTGTGGTGGGGGTGGGGTGGGGGCTTCCTGGAGGAAGGAGAATGTGTGCTATACACAGAATGATTGTAAAATTCATTTTGTAAAGTAGGAGCTGGGGGTGTGGTGGGTACTGGCTGCAAAAATTCTGACCTTTCTTTCCCCCAGCAATAAATTGTTTCTATAGGCCAGAGCCTCTAGAGGTTCTTGTGGGAATGGGACCCATACTGGAGTAGGGGCAACAAGGTACCCAAAACCTCACAGGTACTGTGAAGAGTTAATTTATTGGGATGATGGAATCACTGTGAGTAGCAGGGAAAATCCAGATGGAAAGGTCTAGTGGGCTGCTGGGGAAAATAAAAAAAAAGATGTGGTATAGCATTTTGGGCTGAACAAGTAGAATGAGCTACAGAGGTGGAGCCATGAGGAAAGAGGGGTGCAGAAAGAGCTTTAGATACAGGGGAAGGAGAGAGAATAGGAGACCTGGAGGGCTGGAGGGGAAGTGCTTGGTGGAGTCACAGGAGCCGAGGGAGGGTCAGAGTAAGGAGTGGTTAGTGCTGCCCATGTCTCCGGTGCCTGCCACTGAGTGGCCCCTGAATTGAACTGGCCTGGTCAACAGTGTCACATACTCCAAAAAGCCCAAGAAAAGGGAAGGAAATTATAAGAGCAGCAGGAGGGACAATGGGAGGAATGTGAAGAGGGTCTGAAAGAGTCTGTCCTGATGTTTTTCAATCGTGTGTGTGTGTGTGTGTGTGTGTGTGTGTGTGTGTGTGTGTTGTGTGTGAGAGTCTGAATATATCCCTCCTCCCCCAGGAGGGAAAATAATTTTAATTAACTTTATTAATTAAACTTTAGTTTATTTCTAATGAGAGACATTAAATATTAAGGAATAATGTTGGTCATATTTGAGCTCTGGGGTGCTGCAAATCACTAATGGTTAGTGTCAGCTACCATTTTTTTTTTCATTCTCTTAAAAACCGGTTTTTCCCTCCTGGAAGGCCATAGTGCCCTGTTGAGAATGCATGAACTAGCTCCCAGCTGTGCCCAGGACTGGCTATGTGTGGCGGCCACCGTGATACCCAGGGCCTCTTTGTGTGGCGGCCACCGTGATATCCAGGGCCTGACAGCTCTCTCCAACAGTAGCCTAGGCTCCTCCCTCACCCACCTTCCTCAGTGGCCTGGGCAGTTGCTGTGCAGTGAGAAGCAGCAGATTTCAACATCCTTGGGATTCCCTGCTCAACTTCTTCTGCAGGGGCAATTGGAGAAAGGCCACACTGGACTAGCAAGTCCCCACAGGCCTCCGGAGGAATGAATCCCTGCTCCACAGCTGGGCCCAGCCCTGTGTGCAGTACCAGGAGCCTATTCATTGAACTCTTACCTGCTGAATGATTCACGGTCTCATCTCATTCAAGCTGCACAGTGACCCTGATGAAATGGAAACTATTTCCTATTTTATTGATAGGATGGGGGGGTGAAGAAGGACAAGCAGCTTGCCAAGGGTCAGAGCACACAGGTGGCTGAGTCTGGATTCTAGCCCAGGCCTGTCTGACTCCCCGGCTTGAGTGCTTAGACACTTTGTTGGGTTTTCTTTATTTTCTCAGCCACTTCCCTGCCCCCCTCCAACTTCTAGGGATTCTATTTTGACTTCAGAGGAGGACACAGGTCTAAAGGCAATTTAATATTAGAATTAGAGATAAATGGGAATAGCTGCTGAGCCCAGCAACCCTAGAACTCCATCTATCCAGAGTTGACAAGAGGGGACAGGATATTTCAAATGACCAGTGCCCAACCTAGATTATTGTGGCTGTGAGGGCCTGGGGCCAAAGCCTGAAGCCCTGTGCATGTGTCTCTTCTGCTCAAAGTGTGTGCAGAGTGAGAAAAGTGTCTTTCAGAGGTCTAGAAAATAGAGGGTGCCTTCTCCCCACCCTGGGCAAGCTCTGCACTCAGAACATCCCCCACCCCTGGAATAACTGCCCAAAAGGATCACACCCACTATGTGGGACTATCACATACCCATGAGCCCTTGCTGAGAAGGCTTCAGGGCCCTCAGAGACCCTATTGTTGCCTGTTTCTATTCTTCCTGTTTGTATGCATAGTGCCCCCAGCACCACAGACCAAGCATTGAAACTGATATAAACTGTAGATGAGAATGTTCTAAGAGGCTCCTCTTAAACTATAAAGTGTTCTGGCAGGTACCATCTGCAAGATGGTGGGTTTTTCTGCAAGGCAAACTTTCTGAGGACAGCATCTGAGGAGACCCTGGAAGGGCCTCAATATAGCTGGCTCAAACCCATGCTGAAAAGAGAATGGTGACCAGAAATACAAATGGCTGAAAACAATTCCAGGCAGATCCCAGAGGGGACTGGCTGAGGGCCAACTTGGAGGCAGTGGAGGAGAACACCTGAGGGCCTCCCGACCTGACTCCCTTTTTCTACTTCTGCCCCATCCTCCTGTAATCATCTCTCCAGCTAACTTTTCAAGGTATGACCAGCAAACGCCCAGTGAAGTCAGAAGGGTTTGACCATTGGCTAAAAGGCTCACTGTGGTCTGGACCACTTGTCTGGGTCCTCCGCCTGGAAAACTGTGAGAGAAGAGGGGCTTGAGTCAGACCTATTTGGAGCCTATTACACTATCAAAAGAATAGGAAGCATTTCCCTGAGCTAGCAGACTCTGGGACCCACCTCCGGGAAGCCAGAGTTCTCAGAAGTATGCAGAATCCAAGAATTAGAAAATTCTAGTCAATTCTGGGCCTCCTTGGAGTAACAGAGGACAATGATGGAGAGTGGGAGACATCCCCCCACAAAGACTCTCAGGGTCCTACAATATCCACATCAAAGAGAGTGGGGGAGGGAACCCTTTAATAAAAGTATTTAATTTGTTGCAGGGAGTGTTTGCTTTATTGAGTTAGGAGATTAAAAGAGTGAAAATCTCAAATCCGCAAGGAATTTTCCCTGGCGGTGCTTTGTCGGGGTTATTAGTTTGGGGGATGTTTCAGGCCCTTGAAGGAGTCACTCCTGCATGGGTTTAAGTGGCTTTTTGAGCTCGGCTGAGCCTTGCCCCGTGCACATAATGGGGACTGTGTGTGCCGCGTCATTTCTAATGTGATCAATGCTGGTAGGTCAGGCTGTTAATAAGATAGATTTTTATTAACTCTCTCTTTAGCATTCCCATGAGAGAAATGCAGCTTGCCTTTTGCTGATAATGACCTTGCCTAAAGGGAGGGCTGGATCAGGTGGGGTGGGGGTGAAGTCCTCACCCTGAGTAAACAATTTGCCCAGAATTCCTTCCTGTATCAAGCCCACCTCTGCCTGATTGTAAGGGGAGGGATGGGAAGGGGTTGGAACCCACCCAAGTAAGGAGGGCCCTTTAGGGTTACTCAGAAATAACCAGAGCTTAACGCCTTCTAAGAGCTCTGAAAGCAAATTCCAAATCCAAGCTGTTCTGGCCTTAGCTCTGAGCAGACCAAGAGCGTAAACTTGCCAGAAGGCTCTTATGAGATACATAAGTACTGAGAACATTCTACAATAACAACAAAAGAGCAGAAAGAAGTGCATGAGAAGTGGGTCAGCTTAGTTGGGCCAAACCAGAGCAGTACATTTTCAAAAGCCCTGTATGGTTCTCCACACGTAGGCAGAGATGCTTTTTCACTCCATACAGGATAGAGGAGAAAGCCTGTACTTCCTGTCTCAACTCTGAATCTGTTCCCATTCAAGATCTTGTGTAATGCCCTCTTAGGATCACTTTTGCCTCTCAGTATGGGGCAGAATGCATCTCCTGCCTTCCAGTGTCTCACCCCACCACCTGCTCCATAATCAACCTTATAGGGCCCTACATTAAAGCAGAGCAGACAGCTGAGAGCTCCCAGTGCAGAAGTCAACAAACTTTATTCATTCATTTGGGTAATGTTTACTAAGTGCTGACTATCTGCAAGCCCTGGGCCAGATGCTAGAGAAAGAAAAATGGCCAGGGCAATGCCAGCCTTGCTCTTTTGGACTCTTTTGGATACCCAGGGAAATAAATAGGTTCTGGTAAGGGGTGGGGGGTGCTGTGAATGCACAGCATAGGTACATCTAACTCAAGCAGGAGGGGCTGAGGAAGGCTTCTGGGAGGAAGAGGTGTTCCCACTGAGAACTTAAGGATTGGTCAGAGTTAGGTAAGAGAGGTCAGCAAAGGGGGAAGAGGCTCCTAGGCCAGGATAAGCAGACACATAGAGGAACAGACAGAAGTTCCCTGTGGCTGGACTAGAAAACAAGGGGCAGATCATGCAAGTCCTATGCACACCATGCTGTGGAGTTTGAACTTGAAGCTGAGAGACTTAGAGGGCCACTGATGGGTTTTAGTTAGGAAAGGGGCAGAATTGCGTATGTATGTGAGAGAGATTATCTGACTTTAGTGTGGAGAATGGTAAAAGGAAGCAAGACTTGGCCAGGAGGCTGATCCAGGGAAGAGATAATGAAACCCTGGACCAAGATGTTGGCAATGGGGATAGAGAGAAGGGATGTACTTGAGATAGAACTTGAAACATAGTGTTGGAAGGACTTAGTGACATGTGGCATATGAGGGAGAAGGATAGTCAAGGGAAATGCCCAGATTTTCAGTCTGAGCAAATGGGTACCTCCTGGTAGTAGTTTAGGAAACATAAAGAGTAGTAAGGTTTTAACGTGTTGGGCAGTTTTG